CTACAATTTGCAATGTTGGCATGATCCGTTTCCGCATTTTCACCCTTTTAACATGGAAAGGGAAAGCCTATACATATCTGAAAGCTTCAAAGAATCCTCAACAACTTTCATAAAGTGTAAGGACAAGGAAACAAATTCTGAGAAATCTTTCAATTATTCTTTCACTTTTTGTCGTAATTTGAGATTCAGATGATTATGATAATCATCATCATCATCATCATGAGCTAAGGAGAGGACATGTCTGCCGGTTGAAGGGCAATAGCGATTCGTTGAATTGGTTCGAAACAATGAATTATTAGAAGAAAACGACAACATAAGGAGAGGAAGATGAATAGAAGAGACATTGAACTAGGAAATAGTAAGAAACTGCATATTTGAAGAAAAAAAAAAGGAAAAAGTTATGTTGTTATTGGAACAACCGTTATGAGACTCATTCCAACACCACATTTTCATTCATTTTCGATAACTGTGAAAACATTCTTTTTTATCTTTTTGATTCCATATTTGGGAAATGCACGAACCTACTTATGCTCCTCCTTCCACTCTATACTCCTTCCTGTGATCTATCTTTCCTTCCTAGCTAGCTACTGGCTCTTGTAGTTTGAACCTTCACCTCTAATCCATTCTTCGTACCGGTCGAGTTTGATTCATCATTCTACTATCCTTCAATCTTTGACTCTAATACCTTTTAGTTTTTTTTGGTTGAGAGGTTGAGAGATAATAAGAAAGAGAGAGAGAAGGAGCTTCTAAATGAGGAAGAACTCTATTTTTAATGTATCTAATGGGAAAGAGAGCGGGGGGGGGGGAATAAGGAGAAAAAGATGTAGTCTTTGGTTTTGTTAAGGACAATAATCACTTGCCTTTTACGGCGATTTCTCCACTCCCCGTCTTTTTGCTTCAAATTGTTTTTGTAATGAAGAAGTTTGAGAAATTTTTGTTGGCTTCCTACTCTCTCTCTCTCTCTCTCCTTGCTAGCATTGCATGGCACATGTATCACCCCTCTCTCTCTCTCTGTAAGGCTATTAGTTTCCTTCATTTCTCTCTTCCTTGTTCTTTTTTAATTCATATGCCCTCTCTCGCTTATTCCTCATTTTCCTTTTGAATTCCTACAACTTACTTTTGGAAGCACAGAGCTGGCTCATTGTCTTGTCTTCTCTATCTGGCTCTTCTAACTGCAACTGCTGGCTGAGCGACCATCAGCACGCATCATCAACCCTCGCCTCCTCCGAAAATTAGCAAATTTAAGTGTTTAAAATGATGAGAATGAAATGAAATCTGTGAATGACCACACATCACTCATTATTTGACGTAATTTTGTTTCTTTTTTGTTATATAAATAATGTGAATGGAATGAACTTTATGTGAAAGATGTTCGATCACGAAATGGCTTTTCGTTTCTCTAAACAAACCCATTTGTGCTTTTCTATTCTTTTATATGAACGAAACATTCTTTTTTTTATTTTCAAATATGAAAGTGAACTTCAATTGCGTACGAGATGCATTTCAATAAAAATCACTTTCTCTCTCTCTATTACCTCTCTTGTAGTTCATCTCTCTCTCTCTCTATCCCTCTATCTATGGAGATGAACAATAACATCTCGTGATGGTCTTCGGATATCTAGAACTTCTGTATTTTAAATATAAAAATATTATATTTTGACATTAAAAGGTAATTGGAAGAGTTCTCTATAGTCCTTCTCAGTCCCTCCCTCCCCTCCCTTCTACCCTCCCTCTCTATCTATCTTTCACTTCCTATCATTCATATGGGTAGGAGGAACGACTGACAGTTATGTATCTTCTTGGAATTCTTGATACAACGTTACTCATATTCTTTTCATTCTCTCTCTCTCTCAGTCTCTTTTTTGTGTATTTCGAAACAAAAAGAGAGTTTGTGAAGACAAAAGATTATTTCTTTTGTAAGGATGAAGCTGACGAAGGGTTAACCATCGTCTCCTCTGCATCCTATCCTCACTCCCCCTGGTAACGATAACGCATCGTTTTACAATTGGAATTTCCTTGTTCATGTCCATCTCCTCCCTTCTATCCATCTTCTCACACCCCTTCCGCCTCCCAGCTAGCCTTCGTCCCCTTGCTCCCTCCCTCCTTCCCTCCCTCTTCCTTCTCGCACCCAATCCCAACACGTGTTTTTCCATTTCTTTTTTTATTTTTTCATTTTCAAACAGTAATTTCAACGATTATTTGGCCCTTAGACAATGTCTTTTTTGTTTCAAAAACGTTGCTTGAAAAGGAATAAAAAAATGTTTTTTTTGCCTTCAATTCGTCCGATTAATTCATTTTTGTCCAAAAAAGGAGTGAACGAAAGTAAAAAGCTCAATTGGCATTTGTAGCTTAAAGGTTAGATATTTGAAGCTTTCCTCTTATTACAAATCAAACACACATACACACTACTACAACTCTCATCTTCTAATACTCAGTTAAAGTGATTTGTGACTAGAATGATTGCTCTTAGCCCTCAGGGCATACAGTAGCTGATTCATCTCTTCTCTGTTCTGCTATCAATCAAATGTCTTTCTAATAGATAATTCAATTTTAGAAAAGGATTGTTTGCATCAAGCTTTTCATTGTAACTTCCCTTCTATCCATCTCTCTCTCTATATGACCCATACTTACGAGGGAATAAGAGAGAGAGAGAGATAGCTAAGAACATTCCTTTTGATCTCTCTCATCATTGATTTTCACATAAAACTACTCTATTTAATCATTATAAATTTAAGTTTTTGTCATAAAAGGCCGTCATTTGAACAGATGTTATTATGAAAATTACATTTTTCATAATAAATAACCATATATGGTTAGTTATTTATTTAATTCAACCGCTCAATCTCTCTTTATATTCGCAAAATGATGATGATAGTCGCGTCACAAGTTCACGTGGGTCTGACGTGGCCTCTCCTAATTAGCATATCTGATGAATTCCGTGAAGCTTTATAAGAAGAATTACTTGTCCGGCTTTCTTTGTTTCTTTTTTTCCCATTTCACTTCCCTCCCTCCATCCTCCTCTCTTTCTCACTCCTTCTTAATATACAGATCTCATTGAGGGTCTTTCCTAAGTTCATTCTGTCTTCCTCCCTCATTCACTTGTTGGCCTCCTGTAGTTTGGTTCTGCCGTCATCAAGATCTACTCGCAGTCTCACAGTTCATTTGCAATGATCTCATAAACGGATGCTGTTTAAGTTTTTCTTTTCTCCCTCTCAATATTTTTCTTGCTTATTCTCTGTATCTAGGATTGTCCCTTGTTGTTTGCAAAAAAAAGAGTTGAAATGAAAGAGAGAGAGAGAGAGAGAGAGAGAGGGAGGGAGGGTAAGAGGGAGAGAGACGCTAGAGAGATGGGGGAAAAAAAGAAAATTTTCTTTTTGAAACAGATACATCAGTTTATTGTATTTCAAGGGAAAATACTGAAATTGACCTTTGAGAGAGAGAGAGAGGTATAGAGAGAGAGAGACAGAGAGAGTAATACGTATGTCGTCTGTATTATAATAACTATATGTGTATGGTTAGAGACCCTATAAGGTATTATGTAATAGCTTTCTACTAGTTGAATGGATGGAAAGTTTGCTTTCCAATTTCTTTTTTTTTTGTTGTCTTTCATGTATGTTGTTTCATGAAATGGCCCGAATAGAGAGAATGGCCGTATATAGAGGGAGGGGAATGGGTAGAGAGGGAGAGAGAGAGAGAGAAAGAGATTGGAATATGCCACTATGTTACATCTCCTTTACTTATTCGAGCAAGTTGTCTATTACCTTGTTATTCAGTTTGGACAAATATGAATTTTCCTTTTCTCTCCTTATATCTTACAAGTCTTTTCTATGAGCTCCGCCTTCATCACATATTCATCAGTTTTACTCTAATATGCCTCCCCCTTCTTTTCTTTTTTCTCGCCTTCATTACTTTTACATTTTTTCTGAATCAGGTATTTGAGTTGACTCTCTCTCTCTTATTGTCTCTCTTGCCTCCCTCTCTCTCTTTATCTCATTTATGCTCTTTCAATCTTTTGTCTCTCCATACCCGCGCCTCCCTCTTTAATCTTCTCCTTTTTTTAGCCGTTCCGTCTCATACCTTCGTCATTTTATTTTGTTAACGTCAAATGACGTCAATCATATATGTCGTTACACTCCTCCCTCTCACCCCACCTCCCTTTTCCCTTCTATTGCTGAGCACCCCATTACCCCATTCTCTACCCACTACCACCCCGTAGATTTTGCTATTACTCGTTCGAAGCTCCTCCTCCAGCTCGAGAGGCTCGTTCGGATCATTTCACCTTTCGGATCAAATATGATATTAGGAAATATCATGCTATTTCTGTTTTTTCTCTTTTTTTTTCATATTTTTTTTCATTTCAACATTCGGTTTGTGAATTCTCTCTTACCTACCTTACTATTATGATGACGTTAAGCTCTTCCTTCCATTTCAACGTGTCATCTCCAGATGGCTTTATCTCCAAAAATGGATTTTGCCGAGTTTTTCTTGGAATTACGTATTGGTTGCTCAAAGTTTAGTTCAAAAACCGATTTTTATTTCGAAAGAAATAAATGACGAATTGTATTGTAATCCTCTAACGTCCGAGGAAGTAGGTGCTGATCTGAAGACAAACCCCTTATGGAAATGCTTTTGATTGCCTTATTCGGTCATTGTCAACAGTACTTCTTGACAATTCAATGAACTTTTGAATAGCTTTTACTCACATTCTGTGGCCTCGCAACAAACAACCCAAAAACATTTATTCTCCTCTGGTTCACAACACTGGCGACAGCTTCCTTTATCATGATTCTCAAGTTTTCATATTAACTTCACTTCTTGTTGTATTCCATTTATCCAATTCAATGTAAGCATCTGTTCTCGTTTGTTTTTGATGTTATGCTCTTTCGTTTTCTCTCTCTCTCTTGTTATACTTCGCATTGCAACACTGTTTCAACTCGTCTACTGATATCATTCATGTTATGTTCTTCAGGTACCCCTTATCCTTACTCATTTTGTAAGTTATGAACAAGCTTCATCTCGCTGTCCTTGTTGCCTGCGCTTTATGTGCTTTGACGACGGTTCAAGCCGCCCCCGCTCCAGAAGTGAAGCCAGAAGAAGCCCTCAGTATGAAACTATTAACTATAATGATCGTAATTGCTGTATTGTAGGCTTTTTGGATTTGAGTAAGCTATCCGAGGAGCAGAAGCAAGAATTGATAGAGCATATCATAAGAGCACAAAGAGAATCCGAGCAAATCGGTAAGTTACAAGTTAGATGATAGTGAAAGAGGCTGATTGCCAATTTCAAAAATCAGAAAAGTTGAATAGCGAATTTGGCAGATGTAAAGAAAGAAATTTGCGAAACAGCTGATAGTCATTCTAAATTAGGAATATTGAACTTCGATAGAAGTACTCCAAACACCTGGAATTACGATAAACAGGGTGCAAAGTGTTGGCCGAGAAGAAAAGAAAACTCAAAATGAAAAGAACTTGGTTTTTTGGAAAAAAAATCTTTCAAACGATCAACCAATAACAAAAGAAGAAAAAAGTTTTTTTTGGAAAGAAAATATGAAAATGAAAAACAGTCGCTTAAAGCTTTCCTTGCTTTCCTTATGCTGTTCAGCTTCATCTCTTTCTCTCTCTCTGCTTTTCCATCTCTCTCTTCCTCTCTCTCTCTATACATCTACAAACCAACTATTCACCACCTATATTTCATTCACTCTTTCTTATTATTTTTAATTTTAAAATTATTTTAGAAGATGAAAATTTGGATATGAATAAGAGAGCCCAGACCTTTGTGAGGTTTGGAAAGCGTGCTCAGACATTCGTTCGATTTGGTAAAAGAGCTCAAACATTCGTCCGTTTCGGATAATTTCATCTGATGACCAGAAACAGCAGCAGTGACGTCAATTCTCCTTTAAAGTTCAACTTGAAATAATATTTTCCGTCTACTCTAATAATAGTTATAATAATATCTTTAATTAATGTAATAATGTACATTGTACTCATCTCATCATGAAACTAAGATCACAATTGATCTCTTCCCACCCTCTCTCTCTACATTCCCAATCGATCTCATCAACCTACCCTGTATCTTGATCTCCGTCTTAGCAGTTTGGAGCATCAAGGCTCATTTTGCTTTCTTCCACCTTTTGTCATCATTGTTGTTGTGCGGTTTCGTTTTATTTCCATCTGATAAATGCGTTGTAACATCTTTTTGCGCTCCTTATTTGTCAGGAACAAATCTCAAAGCGGTTTTCCTGTTGGTTGGCGTCTACAGACGCCAAACGGCGCTTAGTATTTGAGTTTATACCCCTTTGATCTCTCTCTCTCTCTCTACTTCTCTCTCATTGTGTATTTGACGTAAAAAGTAATAATTTGTGACAAATAACTTTTGAAAGAAACAAAAAAAGGCTCTTAGATGATAGACGACCTTCTCATCTAATCGATATGTACTTCTGTGTGTATGTTTTGAAGCCATTATGTTGGTTGAAATAAACATTGTTAAATATTTGTTGTTTTATTTCCTCTCTTCGTTTTTTTAAAAGATTAAATTGTAATAGCTGGACTGAAGCTTCGGCTAGTCTCGACTCACCAGCTGGGCTAGGCTTCTCTCATCTCATGAGTTTCAAAATCTGTTTGGAAAATAACAAAAGGCCGAAGAAAACAAGCCGTATATGAGTTGACGATGATGTTGACACGGTGTTTGTACGAGAGGAGGAAGGAAAGGATTGTAACACATCCAATTGACGGCTTTTTTATATTTCAGTTTGTAAAGGGGGGGATTCTCGTCGTCTCTCATTTTCATATGAAAGTACTTCGACGGCTTAATTTCCTTATTAGAGGTTGAATAGAAGATTACCCCAAAAGGGCTTTTCCCTTAATTTTGCCGTGTTGCTTTCTTGTTAACAATTTGTGTTAGATGGCATTCCCAATTTGGGATGGATGAAGCTTGCATGACGTGTGAGAATTTCTGTGGTTGGCCAGTACAAGAGCAGTTAAGCTATTTATACTTTGTGATATGCGGCGGCGAATCGCAAAACAATACCATAAAACATTATGAATTTGAAGAGCTTGTCGACTTGGAACTCCAGTAGCTATCAGAAGCTTTTCTGGGCTGGTGGACAATTAAAGTCCAAATGGTTGGGGCTTTTCAAGAAAATAATGTTTTGACTAAGTATGAAGGACTAACACACACAACAACAAGTGTGAGTGTGTCGATGTATGTGTAAAGCGAAAAGGAAAGCTCAAGGTTTATCCCCCCTCCTTTGTATGTCAATCTGTGATTCTCTATTCCTAATTTGGCTTTTGACTAACATTTTGACTGGAAAGTTGGATGTTGAAGCAGCTCTCAACCACTTGATGAAGCTGACTGAAGATGTCGATGTGAAGAATCATTTGCATTCCATTTGACCTGAATAAGTTGCTGATTTTCAAATTTTCAACACATCTTCTCGATAATCTTTTGCTTTACTCTCTTCTACGTCTAATATAGATCTTCCGTCAGACAGAATTTCCTTGAAATTCAATTGATTGCGCTCACGCCAGACAACTTCAGGAGCAAAACGCATCCGCCGCAAATTTGTTGAAAAATTTGTTGAGAAGTTTCTCATACGATTGTATTTTTTGGTTGTGTGTGCAACTCAAAACATTTTGCTCTTTTCACTATTAACAGACTCTCTTACTCTCTCGTTTTCTCTCTATCTCTCTCTGTGCGGAAGTATATGTAGTTTGTGGTTAAAGAGGAAACATGATGGTCATACCAGTAAGCCAACACAAGCTGATCAAAATACGAAAAGTTAATCGTCGGTACCTTACGGTTCTCGCATTGTATTGCTCTATAATGGCCTGCACATTCAATTTAATTGGTAAGTATTGATAAATAAAATATTTTATTTCCTTTTACTGCAACTGTTGTTTGATTCGAAAAACACGAATGGCATCTCCTGTTTGCTTCACCACAAGGAACATATGGTGTTGTGTGAAGAAACGGTATTGCGATTGTTGTGCATGGGAGTTGCATCTACACAAACATACCAAATGCCCCCCCCCCCCCTTTCCATTGTTAGGCTTACTTGATAATGAAGATTATGATTACAGGAACATCAACGAACAAATGGTTATACACATCAGAGGTTCTCAAGTATTACGTAATGCCGAACATCTCACAAACTTACGACGATTCAGCCAATCAGCCGACATATTTCAAAAACGCTTCAATAGGCCCATGGAGATATTGCTGGCTTGATCGTGAGCTCTTTCAATGTCATTTCCACATTTTTCTAATTGATTATGCAAATTACTAGAAGAGAAAGAAAAGGAATGAGGGGATAGAAAATTATTTTTTTATTCTTTTAGCCGTCCATGATTTCCATTGCCATTCGGTTGAGTATTTGGCTGATGACGATCCCAGTGATGTGACAACATCTGTTCAGCGTAAGTTCAAATTAATAATTCAAAATATTCTGAAAATCGGATGAGAACATAGATAGCTGTTAGGCTTAGTTTGCTTATTCATGAATACTCCTTCTTCTTCCCAGCTTTTCTTCGTAAAGAAGTATTCTGCGTTAAAATGATCTACACAGCATCTTAGCATCATTAGGCGTATCATCTGTAAATGGAAATAGGGTTTACGATTGAGAATCATGATTGAGATGCTTATGCATGTGCATCTCTCTCTCTCACACTCTCCATCTCGCTCTTTTTGTATATATTTTGTTTTATTTTTTTGTTTTTGTTGTATTAAATCACATCTTTCATATTCATTCACATAGTTAAGCTGACTTAACTATGAAATGACACGAATGTATTCAGATTTATTCTCCTTTTATGGCTAATATATATATATATATATATATATTGGAAATGTTATATTTTATAATGATTCCTTGAAATATTTTCCATTTTTTCCCTCTCTCTCTCTCTCTCTCTCTCTCTCTCTCTCTCTCTCTCTCTCTCTATCTCTCTCTATCTTCCCCTCCCTCTCTCTCTCTCACTCTTTCTTATGATTATGTATTTGATTGTTTGGACAGAGATTGTGAAATGACTCTTATACATTAACTATAAATTATAAATGTCATTTCATATTCCACGTGTTTCACGTATATTACGTGACTCACGTAAATTATCATATTCACGTAAGTCACGTAATACGTGAGGGTTAGAAACACTTTGCATTCTTTAGTTGATGATGACGCATGTGCGGTTGTGCATAAATGAAATATTAGAATCATCTTAAGGTTTATTTAATTCATTTTTGTTTATTTACAGAATCCACACGACGCTCATTTCCGTTCATGATGACTGGAATGCTTCTGGATGTTTTAGGATTAGGTATGTCTTTCATATGCTACAGACTACCAACACCGTATGCTTCTCTTCTCACATCAACCTTGATACACATAAACGCAGGTAAATGTCAAATGGCTTTTGAAGGTTTCTAATTTCACGTATACAGGTATTGCCAACTTCCTCTGTATCATTGTCTATATGTCTGCGGTCTCGAAGGAAGTAGGAAATCGTATACATCCTGCGTCAGAAATGGATGATCCTCTGTTTCATTTTCAATACGGATATTCTTTCATATTTCTAAAGGTATTAATGGATGGATGAATTGTTTTTGTAGTTTACTGTTCAGGCATCTTTCCTCTTAACTGAAATGGCAGCTCTCTTCTCCATAATGGTATATATGGCGAAGAGAGATGAAAGAACGTTTAATCGGTATAAGCTACGATCTTTATTAAATACTCATACTGTATGATACACTTTACTTCACGACTTCCTAACATCTTCATTGCAGAATGCAGTGGCAGCTGCTCAAGAATCTGATGAAATAGTTATTTCTCGAGAAAATGCCTATCATCACGCAAGATTCGATAATGTTCGAACTAGAGGGTAATCATGTTTATCTAAATGAATTCTAATGATTGTTATCGGATTACATTATCCGTTACGGGGACTTTTTCTGATCTTTTTTTGTTTCATTCATAACTTACTTTGCCCAAAGCTCATAAACAGAAACAGAAATAGCTCAAACAGGAAGTGTAGCATGGTTGGAACAGCTGTTAAGCACACTCAAGACAGTTTGTTTCGAATCCGGAAATGATGACTTACACATGTCGGACAAACCTTTTGAATGTTCTTGTCGGCTCTTCTATCAGTTTTTCATTGAAAGATATTAATTAACTTGGAAAACTTGACTTTCAGAAGTTCTGTTTCTAATGCTCCATCCTTCGAATTGATAATGAGACGTTCACCTCCCCCGCCGTCAGCACTACGAACAATCACACAGGATGCTTTCTTCCCAGCTATTCTAATGGTAAGAGCTTAACCTTATGGGCTTCAATAATGATGCTGATGTCTGATTTTAAGGGAAGAGAATCTGCTAATGGAGTTATGGCTATTAAAAGAACTTCCCTAGCACCATCACAAACATCAAATTATATGCCTCAGAAGCCACCTTTCATAGGGAGTGAGCTACATATCTAACTGAGGAACAGACTGTTGTAGTGAAAACAGCTGAATGATACTTTTTACTTATGGTTTCCTCTGAACATTTACACAAACTTTCTGAAAACAGCTGTTAAGTGTAGAAAAAACTTTTCAACTTCACCCACTTTGTGTCATTGATAGTGTTCTTGTGACCTTTTCGAGTGTGTTGTTGCTATCAGGTGAGTTGCTAATGAGTTATTCAGGAATCCATCTTATTCAATTAACCTGTGAAATGATTACAAGCGAAGATGATGATGAATTAGACGAACGCATCTCTATGAGATTAGGAGCTCAATTTGAACTATTTCTGTCCTTACGATTTCCTTTATGCTATGAAAGTTATGTTTCTTTTACTGAATGAATATAAGACGATTAGGAGTCGTTGTAATTCTTATCAATTGACGTCAGTACGATTCACAACACCATGTTGTTCCTTGTTATATCAATTTATTTCGTTATATATACATATATACATAGGTGCATGCATATGTATGTGTGTGCTCTTTCAGATTTTCGGTTATAGTGTCCTTTGAAACGTTCCTCCGACCTAGTGTTTCACCAGATCGGTCGAAGCTTCCGCTTTATTTATCTTGATTAAGCTTTGTTCAACATTCAGCGCCTTGTCACTCGCGTATTGAAAAAGATATGATTTCCCATGACTTTATCTGCAAAAGCTACTGGGAGATATGAGTTTGCTGAAAACTTCTCATATATGCTTTCTTGCATTCCTGCTTCACGTTTCATTCCAAATCTATATATCCATTTTTTATTGTCCCATCCATCTTCTCTTTCATCCGCCACCAGATTTTCCATTTATCCTTTCATCTCATTTTGAACTTTCGCTCTCTGTGCTTCTATCTCGAAAATCTATCATCTATCTCCTTGCTCCTAAAGCAGCCTATGCGTTCTGGCATCTACTACACCACATAGCGGAACATTAAGCTTATGCTGGCGCATATTCAGTGTATTAAACAGAGATTAAGATGCCTTGAAGTGATAGTCAACAACTTAATCAGCTTGATGCTTGTCTCAGGAGACAATTCCTTACAGATTCAGTTTCGAAGTTAATGTAAATAATGTAGGTAAAGTGGAAGAATGGTTTGTTTATACATATTGCTCGATGCTGTGTCGTTTGCAGAGCGGGGCAACTCATTTCTTATTCGGTCATCCATTTTCGTCTTTTCAGTTTTTTGTGTTACTTGTGAAATACGATAGAATGCCAGTGCACCAATTGATTCTTTCTAGCAATACTCCGCTTGAGGAATTAGTTTCTGTATTAGTCGTGCTTTGATTTATTCTCAATTTACTTTCACTTTCTCGCATATGCTCCGCTAGTTCCCATTAAATTCAGACACTTTCAGAATTACCTAGGATGGGGTTCCTGAATATGGATTGGAGCTTGAGTCCGGAAGACCTGATAGAGGTATTTTAACTAAATATTAACTAATCACATCAAATTAAATCGTTGTAGGCAGGAGGATACTTGCAGAGGCTAAAGATGTATCCATACTTCGACATAGCTCATTATCTTCTTGTGAGTTTCAATCTTCTGCAATAATTATTTGAATGAAAGCTTTCGTAAATCTTAAACGACAGCGGAAGTAACCATATCACCCACTGATTGGTGCTGAAATGAGTGCGAAAGCAGGCGCCACGTGCCACGTGTGTTTTTCACGGGCCTTTTTTTCGAAATTATTTTGCATACCGTTTACTACTATAGCAAGATGAAAAAGTTTATAGGCCTGTTTATCTGTTAAAGACCAAATGGGAGCAGGAGGTTTTGCATTTTCTAGAAGACATCCCTTCTCTTGTTGGCTTTCTAGTATGCTTATCTCCTTTGCAGGTATTGCCATGTTTTCAATTCCTTATCAGTCTGAATTTTAGGAAGTTTCCTATCGTGTTTTCTACTGGGTGAGCCTATAATCACTCCGTTCAAGAACCATAACGACATTATCCTGGTAAAAAAGAAATTATTTTTGGGGTGTTCATATTGATAATTAAGGCCTCTATCGTTTGGTATACAGTCTTCTACTCCCCGTTTGACGTAGTTTACAAGATTATCAAATTATTTCCAGTCAGAATCGTTCTTTACATGGCTAAAGAGGTTCAAAGAACATATAAGGTAGAGAATGCATCAAGGTGGTCGAGAATATGATGATCATGCTCTTGCAGATTTCTCATGGAGTCACCTATGCTGCGAAGCTTTATCCCGAGTCATATTTAGTCCAATTATTAGTAGGAGTATCCAAAGGTGCTGGTTCCGGTGTCGTTCAGATTGTTGAACAGGTTAGTGCCTCTTCTGCGTTACTGAAACGGAAGTTCTTCTTAGCTTGTCCAAGGAGTTTGGCTGCCAAATAAGCATGAGCTCCTTCGTCCATCCTTCACAACAAAAGTGAGTTTGTTGTCTCTCTCAACGCTTTCAAAGAGGGAAGACACATTTTGAATTGGGACAATTAAAAAGTTTTCGGATGATTCAATTCTTGTTCAGGCATGTGTAGTCGCTTCTCTTGTGTTCACACTTGAAAGGAATAGTATGTATGTTACAGCTCCACACGATCTTGTGTATTTGGTGAGCATTTACATTTTAAAACAAAAATATTTGTTTTATATTTTTAGAGTGTTGTTTGCTTCTTTATTTATTTCAAATTAGCTGCTGTTCTTGTTGGAGTAGCCGATCCACTAGCTCCAGTGGAGAATCTTTGTTGTGCCATCTTCATGGGAGGAATTTGGGAAGCTTTTCAAAAGTGAGAATTAACAGAACCTTTCAGATTGTAAACAAGTGTTTCAGAGCCATACAACATACTAAAGATGAAACAGCAAACGGTGTTGTTCGTACTGAAGAGGAAGTTCGTGAAAAGAAAAAGAAAAACGACAGGAAGAACAAATAGAGTCAATTATTATTAGGACATTAAGCTATTCTCAGGTTTCTTCATTATAGTTCTCATCCGCGTTCCTTCGAAAACACTATACAATCTAGTCTTCTGTATTTTCTGTGATCTTAATAGTTTCTTCATCCATCCTATTTTTGAAATCCAAGTTGTCGTGCGGGTCTTGGACCAAAGTGTTTAAGATAGTTCTCAGTTGAATTCCATTTATAGTCAAAATCACTAAGTCTCTTTATTTTAATAAATATGTGCACGAGTAGAACTTGATCTTCGTCTTGGACAAGCATTGTCAGATTTCTCAGCTCAATGTTTGTCTTAGATACACTCAATCGATTTAGCTCAGCTTTCATTAATCATATACGCGGCTCGTATCTTCTGAATATTTTCAGATTTGCATGTCTCACTTGGTCCTCTTAAAACTCTTCCTGACCTTCCCTTCATCGGCTTTTGCGTTCTTGTTTCATTTGAAACAAGAGACGTGAAAAGAGATCTGAAAGGAGAAACTGCCAAATCTGATTTGACATGAATCTTCTCCCTTCATATCTCTTGTTTTCTCTTCTAATGCAAGAATGGCTTAATGATATGACACATTGATATCCAGGAACACCAGCGAGGATTGACAGTTAAAGGCTGGGAGGGAACCCATCGCGATTTGAGCAAAGTTTCAAACTAGAATAGTTTCAGTTATGTTGTATCCTCAGAGAAATCAGACCTAATCGATTTTCTTGAACTCCTCCTGTCTTTCATCTTCTCTCAGAATAATGCGAAATGTTCTGATGCCAACTGTTGTTCTCCATCTGCCAATGCTGTTATATCGACGTTATCTCGAGCTTATACTTCTAAAAACTGTTTTTTACTACTCATCACTAATAGTTACGGAAGTTTCGATTGAGACGTCTTTACTCTCACTACTTATGTCGACTAAACTCTCCTCATAGCCGACTTTCCATGTAGTAGTTGAAATCCTCTTTAATTTACTTGCTATTGAAACTTTCGCGTCTTTTCCGTTTGCTCAACGTCGTCTACAGCTTTGACCATCATTACATACGACTTCTCCCTTCAACTTCATATGCTTATGAGACGTATATTTAAGGAAATGCTCCCTGAAGGGATGCAGTTGGATCAAGAGATTCTTTTAGAAGCCGGTGCGCAACTGCACCGACTGAAGATGTTTCCGTATTTTGACATTGCTCATTATATTCTGGTGAGAGTTCTAATACAATCAACCAAATCTCATCGTTACCAATATTCAGATGATAATAGAAGTGAGAGATGACTTAGGTGCGAATGCAGGTATTTTCTCTCGTAAACATCCTTTGTCATGCTGGCTCTCATCGATGTTGATGTGCTTTGCCGATTCATTCCTTGCCAACTTCCTCCTGGGTGAACCAGTTATTGCTCCATTCAAACGACATGATGATATATTCTTGGTAAGTTTTAATTTCAAATGGTCCTTTATGATCTTTGACTTAGGCGTCCATCGTTTGGTACCTGGTGTTCTATGCGCCATTCGATGGAATATACAAACTGGCCAAAGTAGTTCCTATCAAGTGTGTCTTGGCGGTCCTGAAAGAAGTCAAGAGAGCGTATAAGGTGACTATTTGAATTTGAATTATTAAATTCCCACCCACCATTTATATTCGAGTTATTTTGAACACAGAAGAAACAACCGATACGATGAAAATGTGTTTTCAAAATGAGCGCGACTGCGTCAAATTTCGAAATGCAGTTTTGAACAATAACCTCTTGCTCTTCAGGTTTCTCATGGAGTTTCCCATGCTGCTAAGCTTTATCCCAACTCGTATATGGTCCAAATCCTGGTAGGAACAGCCAAAGGAGCAGGATCAGGAATCGTTAAAACAATTGAACAGGTATTTGATGAAGTGAATAAACAACTTTCAATAACATTTTATCAGCTTGTTCGTGGCGTTTGGTTACCACATCACAATGAAGTTCTGAGACCCTCCCTTGCCACTAAAGCCTGTCTTGTTGGATCGATTATTCTCGCCCTTGAGAAGAATAGTGTGTATGTTTCCATCCCACACGACATCGTTTACTTGGTAAGGAAACTAGATGGATTCTTAACAGCATCATGAGCGATTACAGGCAATTGTTGGCTTCTTTGTATATTTCAAGCTCTCAGCTATTCTCTTTGATGTGACGGATCCTTTTGCTCCTCTAGAAAATCTCTTCTGTGCAGTATTCATGGGTGGAATTTGGGATGCTTTATCGAGGTATTGCTTTCAGTGTTTGCTTTCCGGAAGTGTGGACGTGCAACATCGCGTTGACGTTTTTGAAGAAACATTTGTGTGTTTTCATAAATACATTTGCTTGAATGCATGATCGTAATGGATTATTGCAGAGCTCTAGCAGCTGCTCGTGAACGCAGAGTAGCTGGTCATCATTCGTCAGAAAATGGTTCAATTTCGAATGGAGAAAAGAAAGATCAGTAATAGTTCGATTTAGTTCGGTAGAATGGTGCCTATCTTGTTTAAATTATGTTCTTAATGAATTTTCTATCTTTCTTGTTATACTTACGAGTGTTGGCTTAGTTGTTGGTTGCTTCTGTTTATCTTCATTTGGCATTTCGCCCGAAAAAAAAATGCGTAAAACTGCAAACTTTCCAGCAAATGCAACGAAAAGCAAATTTCGAGGAGATTCAGGTAGAACTCAAATGTAATTCCAAACAGATGGTTCAGTTGTTCAGGTTGTTGAAGTGACGGAAAACAATTTCAAATCCGTTTGGCCTTATTTGTTAGAGTCATTGAAGAATGCAGATGTCATAGCTTTAGATATGGTAATAGAGAGAAAGTTGAACTTGTAACCAATTTACCGCATAGGAGTTGTCTGGGCTTGGTTCCCAAAAGCTTTTAATGAGTAAGAACATTGAAGACCGTTATGAAGTTATCAGACAAGCAGCACTAAGCAGGCATCATCCAAAGGGTGGTAAATCCCGCTAAATATATTTTTAGGAGTGTACTGTCTGTCGGTTTGGCCTTTTTTAAAATTGAAAAGAAAGATGAGGAGAAGAGAAGAATAAAACTTCGTAGTCAGGTAATGTAGCTCGAGTGTTGTAGAACCATATATGGATTGTTAGGTTTTCAACATACTCACACTTTGTTCACAACCATTTACAATAGAGCCGGATGCTCTAGCTTTTCTTTCCAAGCACAATTTCGATTTCAACCTGTTATTTTCGTCCGGGGTGTCTTACAACCCTTCGACATTATTTAAAGTGAGTGCCATTGTGACAAGATGTTTTCATTATGTCAATTTCACACAGTCCTGCTACTTGCGAGTTCTATTCAATGAGATTTTTTGTTCTTCCCTGCCTATATGTCTACACAATGGTTTAATAGATCTCATCTTCCTTTATCAACATTTCTATTGCGAACTGCCTCCTAAGTAATCCTCATAACATACTATCAACTACATGCCACTTGAAGGTTCTCACAATTTGTCAATGCCCTGAGTGACCTGTTCCCCAGCGATTCTCCTATCGTGGATTCGAAGTACCTAGCAGAATACAAAACACGGATGAAAAGTTCATTCCTAGAGTATATCTTCAGAAAATGGTTTTTATACTTATTCCTCTCTATTTCTACTCTTCTGTTTTAGCCAAGGTGATAATGTCCGAGAGAGTATCAGCAACAAATGGTTTCTATCAGTGAAGTTTGATACTGGTTGTTTTTATTTGTTAAGGCATAATATTGACTGGTTGTGTTTAGGATTACCGGAGGGCATCGAACAGTCGATAGAGCACTTGAATTGTTCTCTCCCGTCCAATTTCCCATCTCACACTGTTCCAATAGATTTGAACGAAGCCATATGCCCACAGTTTACGGTTCTCATTCTATTGTTTATTTATATTCATTACATCACGTCTGTTAGAATCATGGTTTCTGTAAGAAGAATGGGTGTGATAAGATGCATGATGTAGATTTCGCATTGGATTTGGAGAATGAGCGTCAAGAAAAAGAGAGAAAGCGAAAGAGGAAGAGGTATTAGGAACGATGACAGAAAGTGATAATGTTCGGTTCCAGATATGATCACCTTGACCCTGCTCCCAAAAAGAGCGAAGAATCACCTCGAAGTGCATTGCGACTAAGCATAGCTGACTTGAAGGATAAACCTCGGTTGAGAGTATCAGGTTTCATCCTGTATTTTTGCTGTAATCTCTCTTTTCCATTAAGGATGTCATAGAGCAGGAATTGATGCTTTCATGACTGGCTTTTCAGCCATCTTTCAATGTAGGATGGACATTTGCAGAGAAGGGAAATTTTCTGAAAACGTGGGTGGTTGTGCTTTCTGTCCTGTGTTGTATATATCATTTAGGATTGCAACAAAATACCATTATCAGGAAAGGAAATACCCTTATTGATACAGATGTCCACATTTGGAGGCTCTTGTGAGAAGCACTCGGATAAATTCTTTGTCATTTCGAACCAACGGAAGAAGAAAGAGTGAATTGAGAGCATTATTGCTGACCCGGTGGTCGGCATAGTACGTTCCTTCCATCGCTTCACACTAATAAACGGTTGTAATTTGTGTGTAGTTGTTACTAACCGAGGGTTTTCTGTCCTGATTATCTTATTTGTTGTTTGTTATTTTATATGAAAAACAAATCGTTTAAGGTGTTTGGGCTGAGACCTATATTAGGTCGATATGCAATACAAGGATCATACAGGTATTGTAATGGAAATATTGACAACTTCTATTTTATTCTAGGTAATAGGAAAAGATATATAAGTGGGAGTGAGGTTAGTTGATTGGAAGGTTCGTTCTCATTGTGACATCGTTTAGAGGAACCACTACACACATCAAGAATTGAAAGATAATAAGTAAGTGTTGTTTATAAATGGAAAACTCACATATTTATAGTTGCAGAGAGAGTGCGCAAAGTTACGGTTTGTCGTCTGTTCACTCGTTGATAATAGTCAAGAGTTACAGACTGGGATAATTCATTTGGAGGATTTGATAACCGTTGGGATGATGAGGTCTGTGTCTAATTCATAACTCAAGTTATTCTACAAACAGGTTGAGCAGAGGAGTACCTATAGTTCCAGGAGTTGTTCAAGTTTAGGTAACTACTCAATCTCTAAAGCATTGCTCATCTCATATTTTTAGGATATAAGAAAAGATTTGATTATGATGTCGTATGTCACAACACTTTCGAAAATTGATTTGCAAGTTTCTCATGTTTCAGTGGTTATCTGAACAGATCAGAGTCACCGAACGAGTTGTCCAAATAACTAATAATGAATACTCAACAATGAAGAAACTGACAAAATCGCGTCTTCAGCCTAATTTTCGTTATACTAAAGAGCCTGTGCGTTCAGTCGATTACATTAACAAAATAAGATTTTGTTCTGCGAGTGGAGCAATCAATGAGGTCAATGAAAAGTACGATCTGGTTGATCTGGTCTCATCTCCCGAGTTCCATAAGGAAGCACAGGTAATTTCACTCTCTAGTGGAAACACTTATCAGTTTCTCGTTGTTCAGTCATGGAAAGGAATCAAACAGCTCAAAGTCGGAAGAACTTTCATCGAAAAGAGCCTAGCGAAATTCAAGCACGGTTTCAGCAAGTCATCTACTCAAGTTAAAGGCTTTGGACATTGTGTAGTATACCATCTGTTCAGATATACAATGACATCTGTGTTCTCGATGAAAGTAGACGGACTGATCCTTTGAAGCAGGCCATCTTTTTTGTACAGAGTAATAAGTATTGCCAAGAGGACATCGACTACTTCTACGAATCGTGAGTTCTCGAGCGTTTTCTCGGAGAATTGAATAAACTTCAGTATGGTTAATCCTGTCCAGAAAGAACTTTATGATTCTGAGATAGTACTCGAGGTTCCTGATGCCAAATATTCGGTAAATATCTTTTGTTCTGACTTTCTCACGGTAGGAGATCCCCTTTTAGATATCGCTGAAAGCAGGTGGCGTCGGACACATCAATGGTTATCCCGTCTGCGATGATTTGTCTTGTATACATGTAAGTAATGAGGAGCTTGACGAGGTTTATAGCAAACTACTCGGAACAATAGATGGGTTTGTATCGGTAAGAAACAGTTTTAAAAACGTTTGACCATCAACCTGTTCAGTTGGCAAAAATACCCAAGATGGAGATAGAAAGATACTTGGATATGAATGGCACTCAGCTTCCCGATTCATGTTATCATGTGTTTTTCTCCTCCCAAAAGCATTGCTTGAGTGCGCGAAAAAACCATAAAGATATGATGGTACTGATGGAGATGTCATCGCTTCCTAATTGCTCTAATTAACAGCCTTATTTGGTGTGTGACAATATGATTGGACATTCTCAAAGTATTGAACTAGCCATGGACATCAGGTGGTACGTTCGACCATTCCAAGGAAGAGCTCGGCTGACTGTATGTTTCCTTGACAAGACCTTGTCCAAGATGATTTATTGATACTCTCTCTTCCGTATAACTTATGCTTCTTTCAGATTCGAAACCCTGATGAATTGATTTTTACAATAGAAGTGCTGAAACTTCATAACATCAATGCCGAGTTTCTAATTGAAGATGATAGAACTGTTTACGACCAGGTATGTTTTTTCTTCAGTCTTAACTCAATTCTGAATACACAGCTGGATTTGAAATGGGGTGGGGGTTTGCGTGATACTGCTGCACACGACGAAAAAGTATTCGCGACCATTATCAGAAAGGTTTTCTTAGTTTGTAGAATGTAGTCATCAGATCTGTTGACAGGCTTTACGTCTCAATCGCATCTCCATCAAAGATTTCACTATGGAGAGGGAAAATGCAAGATATTATAGCAAGTAATTTACTTTCCAGGAAACTGTTCATTTCAATTGAATTATTTTGAGGAGGCATCTAGTGAGAAGGATTCATCAACGATTAGTGAGAGCTGCCATCAACTCAGACTGTTGGAACCGTAAAATTCCTATTGAAGATGAGGATTGGTATGAGGTATGTTTAGTTTTCGAAACCAATCACTCTTTGGAACTTTCAGCTTTTTGACGACAGTCAGTCATTACCTTGGCATATCACTATTGGTCATGAATTTCCCTTCCAGGAATGCTTGGAAGGCTATGCTTCGGTATGTTTACGATTCAAAATATTCACGTTATATGTGTGTGTAGATTGTATTCACGGATAACTTCGAAATGGCTGAAAAACTGATGTGCTTCCTGTTGGAAAGGTCTCCAGATAAGGATACATTCACTCTCAACCCTATGGATAAGCTTGGGGTTGATTCTATTTCTCATCTGTTCAATTGAATCTGCGTTTTCTAGGCAAGATTTTTCCCGTGTTATCGCTCGTTCCGATATATGCCATTGAATATCAGAGCAGCTTGTCATACCAAAATCTTGTAAGATTTCCGTAAATGTATTTGCAAATACTTTGCTTTCAAGAGAGTTGGACGAGAAATGGCGAACACAATCAGATAGTGATCACTTCAATTGGCTGAGATTGCGGGATCATGGAACTAATCGAGAAGAGTGTAGGCTGACTGTGGAAGGGTGGCCCATAAAGTATGTATCAAATGATTTAATGATAAAATACAAGTTCTAGGAGTGTCATTGCCGCATCCAAGGTATTGGATGAAATGTGTAAAGGTTTAGTCATTGACTGCTCATCTGAAGGCCGAGAAGTTCTTTTCACAGAGTTCGTTGTTTTTTTATTTCATTCATCAGTCTTAAATCATCTTATGCTAATTTATGCCTTCAATTTCACTCTTCTTATTCTAATTTTTCACGTTTACCCGAATCCCGTGGAACATTCACGTGACCACTCAATCTTATGTTTTCATTTTATTTCATTTGCATTACATGACGGCTGCTCTTCGTTGGTTCCAGCTTCTGAATAACGTTACGTTTTCAGTTTTGGCGACGCCTTCGTGTACAATTTGAACGATAAGTATAATGGAGCAATCGTTTTTCTGGTAGACCGTCTCAATATGAAAATCACTTTATACGGTGATGACATTAAAACTAGAAACATAGTCGAGCAGCTTCTCCTTTTCGTAGAGAACTGGTTAGTTTTGTATTTCTGCCTCATGAATGAATCCAATTACAGGCACAATTACTTCATTGAAACTCCGCTGGTTATAGACAGGCCTAGATATTTTCCTCAGCTCAAGAATACTATCTGCAATTTGAGTTGTTCTGCTACTGAGTGAGGAACAAATCTGTGACTTATAACGTGTTGATGTTTCAGTGAGAAAAACGGCGGCGGAAGGTTTTGGCCTTTGTCTGACTCTACCCACCTTTTCAGAGGAGAAATACATAGCTTCTTAGAGTTGGTTGACCTTTTGGAAACACTCCAAGACACTGTAGGCCTATTCCAACTTCCTCATCTTCAAACAATTCTGTTAAGGTAGAAGATGTGTACTTCAACAAACGTTCTTTCCGACCCATTTGTCCCGTTTGCTTCATGAAAGTTGATATGTTTTGTAACTATCAACTCAGCATTTGTGGGGATTACTATTGTCTACCTTGTTTAGCTCGAATGGTACGTCTTAACGTCCGTACCGTCGACTGTAGTCCTGTTCCTAGATCAAGCATTACATCCAAAGTCGTGAACTACCCATAGCATGCTGTGAGCCTTCGTGTCAAGTTCCAATTGCAGTAGAAGATATAATGGTGAGATTATAATATATATATTGCTCATTTTATGAAATTTCACAGTTCCTGTTGATCGGCAATATGAAAATGCCAACTAGGTTCGTGTATGAGAAGTTCCAGCCTCTTATACAATCAATACTTGATGTCAATCTGGTTATGAACCCCCATCTGAAACCTTGTTCAACACCTGATTGCATTGGAATCAACGTTGTACGCTAGAAAAGTATATGCGTGTAGTATTCTATCGGCTTTCCAGTTATCAAGTATACCTGGATCTACGTGCGTTTGTAGTAGATGCGGAGCTATACGTTGTGGCCAATGTTGTGAGAATGTACATGATGGTTTCAGCTGTGAATATTACAAGAAAATAGCAGGTTAGCTTAGCATCCATATCTGTATAGGAGACTCACTGTTGTTTAGGTGATGTTCAACTATCGATCTCAGAATTCAAGAAATCAAAAGGAAAATCTGTTCGAGATTGTCCAAATATTTTATGCCAAGTGAGTCTGTCACTTACAACTCTTCTAATTTGTTTCAGGCGGTGATTGAAAAAAGCGCTGGATGTAATCATATGCAATGCCATTATTGTAGAACTCATTTCTGCTGGCTGTGTCACTACTGTGTAAGTTAACTCCTCATGACGTTCATTCCTTCGTTTCAGAGTGATTGTCAGAAAAATGTATACATTCATTTGAACGAAGTTCATGGTGGTGCTGGTGGTGGATGGAGAGTTGAAAATAATATGGTCAGATCGTTTGAGCTGTATGAGATTTCAAATTGCAATTTCAGATAGTTGAGTTTCCGGATGACATTGCCGAAGATGTTCTTATTGCTGCTGCGCTCGAAAATGCGCAAGAGCTTTGAATTGTTTATTGTTGTTCTATTTGTGTTTCTTTTGCATAATATCATTCCTATATCTTTACTCAAGGATACTAATGTTGCGGGATATTACAGAGCTTTCTCCTCATCAGGGAGGGTAATTGACTGATCATAATATATGTTTTGTTGTTATTCTAGTGAACCAATCAGACTTCTATGTGTTAATAGATAATCAAAAGAACAATCCTATCTTTCCATCTATTTCGACTCAGGTTATCTTTGTTGTTTTGTATTGTGAATAAAGTTTTCATTTCTCATTGCATCATTATGTATATGTCCCACGGTGGTACTCCGTCTATTCGGAAGTATTTTGGTTTGTTTCGATGATCGAAGTTTCAAATGCGTATGACAATCTTTAAGTTTTTCTAAAAATACTTGAAAGATCTCACCCGCATCAAATTGAAGAAGAAGCTGCGGAAGCTGTCGTGAGATGGCCTTTGTAGCCTTGACAACCAACAGCTTCTTAACCAGCGGTCTCGTTTCAATCGCTGTAAAAGAATCTAGATCTTGTTTTTCATTTCAACTGTAATATTGAGCACTTGTAGTTAGTTGTTGTATTCTGAGCTCATCCTTTCCTATTTGGTTTCCATCGATTTTTTCCTTTTCCTCCTACTCTCATCAACTTACAGGTTATCGATTGATTATTGGTCTGAGTCATTATGGTATCATTCATGTTGTGCTATTTCAAAACTCTTTCATCTTCTTTCTTATTATTTACATCTTGATCAGCATCTTCCTGAATTCTCATTATTTTGTTCTTATTTTCTCTCAATCACGTTGGGAGAGAAATTTCCATATGAGAGATTTTCATTTTTAAACAAAAAAATGAAAGACCCGGTTGTTCCCCATTTGGAAAGGTGTTCAACTGTGCTCTCAGCTCGTAATCTTCATCTTTTATTTCCTTTTTTGGTATTTTCCTTCCGCGTTCACTCTTTTCTTCCGAGTTTATCTCTTCGAGCGTGGAACCATTCCGTTGATGTTGATAATAGTTTTTTTCTGAAATGTTTGACTCTGTGCGCAGAGCAAAAATTTTTCTGCTATTTAAATTCTTGATCGCATCGATCAATGCGAAACAGTCTTGATTGGTACTTACTTGTTCACGTTTATACTCATTCGAATCAGCTCTTCATCCTCTATCCTTATTTGGTACGCGCTTAAGATTTTGTTGATCATGAGGAGAGAAAATTTTCTGGAATCTTCTCCTGATCGCGCCACCAAAATTTTTTTTTTGCTCATGTTGAGCTTTTCTTTTCAGTTATCGCATTCATGTTTGTACTTATTCGAATCAGCACTTCATTCTCTATCCTTATATGGTACGCGCTTCTCATTTGGTTGATGTTGAAAATAGTTTTTTTTTCTGAAATTTTCGACTCGGTGCTCAAAGCCAAAATTTTTTTTCGCGAAACAGTCTTCATTGGTACTTAGCTTGTTCACGTTTATACTCATTCGAATCAGCTCTTCATCCTCTATCCTTATTTGGTACGCGCTTAAGATTTTGTTGATCATGAGGAGAGAAAATTTTCTGGAATCTTCTCCTGATCGCGCCACCAAAATGTTTTTTTTGCTCATGTTGAGCTTTTCTTTTCAGTTATCGCATTCATGTTTGTACTTATTCGAATCAGCACTTCATTCTCTATCCTTGTATGGTACGCGCTTCTCATTTGGTTCATGTTGAAAATAGTTTTTTTTTCTGAAATTTTCGACTCGGTGCTCAAAGCCAAAATTTTTTTTCGCGAAACAGTCTTCATTGGTACTTAGCTT